CAGCACCCGCTGCTTGTTGAGAGTAGAAGCAATACGCGCTTTCACGTTAAAAGTCATCATAAATAAGTCTCCAATAACACTAGAAAAAGTCGCCAGATTTGTCGCTAGTTGTTTTTTGTTTTTGTTTTTTTTTTTAGAAAAAATCGCTAAGGGGGTGTGAAAACTCGCTAAATATAGTGACAAAGTCGCTAAGTTGGCAACGCTGCATGTTGCAGCAGATGGCCGCCCCTCCCTGAGCCTGGTTCTCCGGAGGTTTCTTCCTGAGAGTTTTTCCTTCCCATTGTCGCAAAAGCGCTTGCTCATAGGGGGTTATATGATTGTTGGGTTTTCTCTGTATCTAATGTACAATATAAAGCGCCTTGAGGCGACTTTTGATGCGATTTAAATACAATTGAATTGAATTGAATATAAACTTGCTCTGGCCTGCTACATTCTCATTCTCTTACGATCGGACATTTATATATCTCAGTTTCTTCTAACACAAGATCCGTTTAAAAATGGAGAACAGGCTTCTTTTTTAAAACCAGTTTAAGATTTATTTTGTTCAGCGGAGATGCTTCTACTCAGCAGCCATCTTGGAATCTCCCCCACCCTGGCTGTTTTGTTACCATGGATGCAGCTTTACAACGGCAAGACATTGCACGTGACATTCTGTGTAACGTCACAAACACCCTACCGCTGTCAGACGCGTTCGTTTTTGAGACGTCACTTTGGGAAAGTACAGCTTTCGGTGCATTAACTGTATTTTTGTTTGCTTAAACAGGATAAAATTATAACTTTACACGATAGCGCAACGAAAATCATCGCTTTATAGAAATGAATGTAAGTACAAGCTTCTTTTTACTTCTCTAAACATACTTTTCACATCTCAAATTCCTGAAGAGAAAACGTAGATGCTAAAAAGTAAAACAGATAAAGACTGTTGTAACAATAACTGAGATATGAAGACAGCTCATCGCTTTTTCTGTTTTCATACTTTCTGTTGTTATGGCATAAAGTTAAAATACTTTGGTCATTTAAAAAACAAACCTTCTAGGATTAGATGTGTGATGGTGTAATGTCGTTTAGTTTATCACAGTAAAATTGTGAATCTATTTTTGTAAAATAATTTTTAAACATTTCAAGTCAACTCAGCTTTTTTTCCTTTAATCTGATTGTCTAGAGATATACATGGGACATAGAAAACACGGAGAGAAGGACAAACACTCTTTTCCAAATTAATGAGATTCTTCGAGTTACAGAGGACTTAGAATATCGGATCCGTGCCCGGATTTTCAATGATCACTTGGAATGCAGGGTGGCTGTTGGAAACGTGACAGCCTTCAGAGAAACACCCAGGGTCAGCCTGCCTCCAATTGGTGAAATTTTTGGGGAGGTGCAGCCGCAGCGGGAATTGAGCTTGGCATCTTCATTGAGCTCTGATGGAAGTTCAATAACACCTCGAGACAGTCGCACTCCCGAGGAGCTCAGGGCTATCCCATTAGTTAAGACACCCTCTCCTCCTCCACCATTTGCTCCATGTCCTCCATCATCTTCTCGACCTCACAGATGTCAGATTCCAGTGAGGCCAAAAAACTACAGAGAAACATGTCAGTTCTTATATCGACGCAGTAAAGACTCAGAATGTCAGACATTTAAACTCTTCAGACTTTTAATCAGCTGTTGTGTGAGAGATAAACCCTCCAACCAGAGTTTACACATTGCTAAAACACATTGAGTGTTAAGGTGTTGCCATGGTAAAATATCTATAGAGGTGAAAAATTTGACATTTCAGCTTCACTTTTTATCCAGCCTGTGATTTGGTTATTATTATTTGAATACAAATTTTGGTAAATGGTTAATTAAGATTGATTATGTTGAATTGAAAACTTGTACTTTAATTTAATAAACACACTTATAGACATACATGGTTTGCTCTCCCCTTTAAAGTGCACTTTTGTCTTGTTCAATTCTCAGCTGCAAACAAACAGAAATGTGAGTAATAAATATTTCATGATCTAATCTGTGCAGACAAAGAAGTTGCTGGTGTGAGGCTGGTGACAGCCCAACATGCGGTTAGGGTATTGGACCAATCAATTAAAAAAATTGTAGATGCCTACCTGCCCCAAACCCTTGCAGCTCGTCGGAGGCTAATTCCTTCCCGAGCTCCAGTTCCGGCCCCCCCTCGAGTTCCAGCTCCACGAGCTGGAAGAGGGGCTGGGGCTCGAGCAAGGGTTGTAGCTCTGACCCCTGCTCGAGCTCCAGCTCCTCCTGGAGCTCCAGTTCCGGCACCCCGTCGAGTTCCAGCTCCACGAGCTGGAAGAGGAGCTGGGGCTCGAGCAAGGGTTGTAGCTCTGACCCCTGCTCAAGCTCCAGCTCCTCCTGGAGCTCCAGTTCCGGCACCCCGTCGAGTTCCAGCGCCTCAAACTGGAGGAGGAGATGGGGCTCGAGCAAGGGTTGTAGCTCTGACCCCTGCTCGAGCTTCAGCTCCTCCTGGAGCTCCAGTTCCGGCACCCCGTCGAGTTCCAGCGCCTCAAACTGGAGGAGGAGCTGGGGCTCGAGCAAGGGTTGTAGCTCTGACCCCTGCTCGAGCTCCAGCTCCTCCTGGAGCTCCAGTTCCGGCCCCCCCTCGAGTTCCAGCGCCTCAAACTGGAGGAGGAGCTGGAGTTCGAGCAGGGGCTGTAGCTCCAGCTCCTCCAGCTCCTCCTCAAACTCCAGCTCCAGAACAAAGGAAACCTCGAAGGGTTGTTAGACACCCTCCAGAGGTGGACTTTAAAGGGCTTATCGTGGGGTACCTCCGGTCAACTGAAAAAAAGTTAGGGGAGGAGCTACAGCCAGTCTCGAATCCTTCAGAGACTCTCTGTCTGAGCCTCAGCCTGCTGAGTCAGGACGACTGGTAAAATGATTTTCTACTATTATCATTAATTATTTTCAATTTAATGTGAGGATATGAGTTTTAAAACTATTTGATCTTCCTACAGGCAGAAAAAGATAGAGGGGCTGCAATACATCCACACCCTGGCGCAACATCACCAAGAGGAGTTGGAGTTAAACCTCCGTACAGTTTGCTTGGCGGTGACAAAAGAGGTATACCAGCTGTTTTTCTCTCTACATCTGTGTTTTTGCCACCCTCTTCTGTCCATGTTTGCAAGCGTGCCCTGTCTCATGCAGTTTTGTAACAGGTTTGATTTCTAACTGCTGAAATTTTCCTCTGATTCTTTAGATTAAAAACAATCTCCCTTGTGTGTCCTGTGCGGCACTGGACACCGTAATATATTTGTGTGCACACCTCAGAGAGAAGATGGACAAAGAAGCTGAATGGACCTGTAAGAGTTTACTGGAGGTGTTTGCAAGGGCAAATACCAATGTGTTAATTCAGCAGCATGCAAAGGAAGCTCTGACAGCTCTGGTTCACGGTTGCAGCCCGAAACGCTTTCTAAACAGCCTGGTGACTGACGGTTTGAAGTAAGTTCACACCTGTGAAGAGTATCTGTGACCCCCAGCATCACAATCAGATCAGGTGAAAATCAAACACACTGAGTGGATTTGTCTGTGTTTCCTTCCTCAGACATAAGAGCGTTCTCGTGAGAGCTGGTGC